CATAATTCAAAGCAATCCGTGCTGGTTCACTGTCACTACGCATAGGATATAGGGGTAATACAATAATTTTGCTATTTTATATAATATTTTAATATACATTTTTCATAAAAAATTAAAAAGTTATCCCAAACAATCAACTTTTTTTCTCTATTTTTTTATCCAAAAAGTCAAAATGTGCACTTATATAATTCATCTCAAACAACCCCTAAATGGGTGTGAGAGAAAATTTGATTGATTAATGTGTAGAATGTGAGAGAAAATTTGATTGATTGATGTGTAGTATGTGAGATAATGATAGAGGAGAGAGGAGATAGGAAAAATAATTTGAAAAGAGTTTTGGAAATTTGTTAGCCAAATATGTTTTTTGATTTTTTGATTCAAATTATTTTGTGGTTGAGGTAAAAGAAAAAGGTCTACATTAAGATTTTTAAAAGTTCAAGAAGTGCTCACGGGCTCGATCAATTTGACAAAATTGATCGACCAAATTCAATCCACCAATTTTTAAGCAATTTCGATAATATAGGCAAACAGATGCGGATGAAGATTTTTCAAATCCGCTTATGTTTGGACGGATGGCAAATTAGTAGTCATCATACACAACTTGATCCACCAATCCTCTTTAAGAAAATGATATTATGTTTTTATACTTTGTATGTTAAAAAAATAATATTTTATTTAATAATAATATTAGCTACTTATGAAATGTGAAAGTTTGGGCTTTATTTTAATTATAAAAATGAAGAATACAAAATTTTAGAATCAAATAAAGCCAAAAATAGTAAAAAATCACTCTAAAATAGTTCCAAAAAAAAAAGAAAAAAAAAGAAAAAAAGAAGAGTAAAACCCAAACTGCTAAATCGATCCGCATCTATCATTCAACCAGCATGGTCCACTCAATCCGTATTCGTTAACTAAATAGACGAATTTAGATTGATTTTTACTAAGTTACCTAACTTCAGACGAATAATGGATAGGAATCTATTTTTCCCAACTTGATCTGCGAGCACCCATAATAAATTATATGTTTTAAAGTGAAAAGTATACTGTAATTTATTATCATGTATAATTGTTTTTTTCTACATTATTAATGGTGAGTATTTCATGAGGATTTTCACGGCCCATTAGATCTCTAAGCTGCCGTTTGGCATGTGATTTTTTTAGTTAGTTTTTTTTAACTATTTTAGTTCTGGTTAAAAAGTTCATTAGGATTAGTTTTTTTGACTTTTGTAAGAAAAAAATGAAATGATTATGATTTGAATGTGATATTTTATTTTATTAATTTTTAACTTATTTTGTCTTTTTGTAACTAATTTAATCTAAAACTTTGGTTACAATTGGTTTAGTTTTGAAATCAATTTTAAAAGATAAGTTTTTAAAAAGAGTTTTTAAAAATTGAAAGGTTGTTTGGTTATGAGTTTTTAAAACTAGTTTTTGAATTGTATATTTTGAAAATAGTTTTTAAAAATTTAAAAATTCAAAACTTATTTGGTTATGAGTTTTCAAAACTAATTTTTCATAAGAAATTTTTTTGGATCTTGTATTTTTTTTTGTCTTGTAATCAAAATTTTTTGACAATATTATAGTCATTTACTTTTTTCACATACCCAAATACGTTTTTGAGTTTTAAGTTTTGAATTGAAATGGATTTTGAAATGTATTTTTGAAAATCCAAAACTAAGCAGGTTTTGGGCCGTGAAAATTGAATTTAAAAAGTAAACCAAACAAAATTTTCTTTTTATTTTTTGATTTTTGTTATAAAAAGTCAAAAAATATCTCAAACATATTTTATTTAGGGCTTAGTTTCTCTTAAATTGGCCATCCAATTTGAGAAAGTCTTTGGGTTTGATAGGTCCATTTTGAGATTAATTTCGGTAATTTAAACCATTTACTGTGTAGAATTTGTTGACTAGAATATTCATGTAAAAAATTAAAATGATCGAATATCGGTATTTATATGTTTGAATAAAAATTATATTATAAGAAATAAATGGTTATTATTAAAATTATATTTGAAATCTATTTTTGTAAAACAAATATGATTCAAAAGTATAGTTACCAATATCCAATTATCTTGATTTTTTTACATGAATATTTTACTTAACAAGTTTTAAAAAATGAACGATTCGAATCACCAAAATTTGTTTCAAAATGAGCTTACCAAGCGTAAATACTCTCTCAAATTAAAATGATAACTTAAGAGAAACTAAACCATTTTTTTAAAACTCACATTTTAGCCAAAAAAAATAAAATAAAATAAAATAAAAAAACTATTAAAATAACATGTTCTCAAATAAGACTTGATTGCAATGGTAATACTACTAATCAATAAAAAATCACAAACAAAAATGCTAGAGGCCCCAAAAATTCTACCAAAAGTTTTACCAAATGTTTCACATGGGTGTGGGACCCACATGGGACCCACATTGTGTGGGTCTCACACCCATGTGAGACATTTGGTAAAACTTTTGGTAGAATATTTGGGGTCTCTAGCATTACTCAATCACAAATAGATGGCTGTTTGTAAATGAAAAATGCTTGGGAGCACTAATTAGTGCACTAATTAGGTGGCAGTAGGTCCCGCCATTAATGATGTGAAGTTTTGGTTTTGGAATTGTATTTTTTTTTTTACTTTTTTAATGCATTAGTGTTATTAGTGGTGATGTTTTTAGTGGGATGAATCATTGTTGTTTGTAAATATGCTATTTCAGTAATTTTTTACTTTTCATAAAAAGATATGTAATGTAATAGAGAGGTGGTATGAGTCAAATAAAAAATAATGCGACCTAAATAAAATAAAAAGATAAAAAATATAAATTTTTAAAAAATTGCCAAACAACAATAAATATTGTGGTTAAATTACTAATTGGAATATTAGAACGTATTTGACATCCGCCAAATAAGCGTATCTATATATATAAATATACTTTATTTAAATCATACCATTTTTATATTTTTTTATATATATATTTATAAAAAATTAAAAAATATTCCAAACAATCCCTTCATATTACCGTTACAAACAATATTTACTCCGAAGTTTCCATTACGATTACCATGGGACCCACCACCACCATAAAATTTCCTCCAATTGATCCCAGCCACAGCCTCCACCTCACGTGTCCCTCTCCCTCTCATCGTCTCCTCCGCCCAAATTCGCAAAGCTATCCAAACTCCAACCAAAATATTTAAACAAATTGAAAACAAAAAGTCTTATAAATTACTAGGGGTGCTCGTGGTTTGGCGGTTCGGTTGCGGCCAAAAGAATCTTAAATTCGCCATCCGTCTACCAAATTGGCGGATTGGAGAAAATCAATCCGCAACCGTCCGTTCGTCATCACGCATCCGTCCAAAATGCGGCGGATCGGTTCGGTTCGGTCGGTTTTGGTGGATCGGTATATCCACTACTCACCCCTACTAAGCAGGTTTTGGGCTGTGAAAATTGAATTTAAAAAGTAAACCAAATAATTTTTTCTTTTTATTTTTTGATTTTTGTTATGAAAAGTCAAAAAATATCTCAAACATATTTTATTTAGGGCTTAGTTACTCTTAAATTGACCAGCCAATTTGAGAAAGTCTTTGGGCTTGATAGGTCCATTTTGAGATTAATTTCGGTAATTTAAACTATTTACTGTGTAGAATTTGTTGAATAGAATATTCATGTAAAAAATTAAAATGATCGAATATCGGTATTTATATGTTTGAATAAAAATTATATTATAAAAAATAAATGGTTATTATTAAAATTATACTTGAAATCTATTTTTGTAAAACAAATATGATTCAAAAGTATAGTTACCAATATCCAATTATCTCGATTTTTTTGCATGAATATTTTACTTAACAAGTTTTAAAAAATGAACGATTCGAATCACCAAAATTTGTTTCAAAATGAGCTTACCAAGCGTAAATACTCTCTCAAATTAAAATGATAACTTAAGAGAAACTAAACCATTTTTTTTAAAACTCACATTTTAGCCAAAAAAAAAAAAATTAAAAAATTAAAAAACTATTAAAATAACATGTTCTCAAATAAGACTTGATTGCAATGGTAATACTACTAATCAATAAAAAATCACAAATAGATGGCTGTTTGTAAATATGCTATTTCAGTAATTTTTTACTTTTCATAAAAATATATGTAATGTAATAGAGAGGTGGTATGAGTCAAATAAAAAATAATGCGACCTAAATAAAATAAAAAGACAAAAAATATAAATTTTTAGAAGATTGCCAAACAACAATAAATATTGTGGTTAAATTACTAATTGGAATATTAGAACGTATTTGACTTCCGCCAAATAAGGGGTTGTTTGGGGTGTCCTAAATAAGTGTACTTTTTGTCTTTTTAGACTAAAAAATTGAGGATGAAAATATGGATGTTTAGGTTAACTTTTTGACTTTTTATGAAAAAATGCGTAATAAAAAATTGAAAAAATTGATTTGTAGAGGAAAATTTGAATTGGGAGTTGTGCAGCCGTAATTGTTGACTTTTGGTGAATAGTGTTAACTTTTTAACTTTTTGAGTAACTTTTTGACTTTTTGGCTTATTTGGGACTTCCCAAACTTAGCCTTAGAATAATATGTATTTATGTGTTGGATTAGAGTTTTATGCATGCAGGCAACATTGCCAGTAAATCATTCTGTTGATTTAGGTAATCAGAGGCAAGCAGGGAATTCCAAACAAGAGTAATACTAGAGACCTTAAATATTTTACCAAAATTTTTACCAAATGTTTCACATGGGTGTGGGACCCACACAATATGGGTCCCATGTAAATCCCACAACATTTGATAAAACTTTCAGTAGAATTTTTGAGACCTCTAGCATTTTTTTTCCAAACAATCCCTTCATATTACCGTTACAAACAATATTTACTCCGAAGTTTCCATTACGATTACCATGGGACCCACCACCACCATAAAATTTCCTCCAATTGATCCCAGCCACAGCCTCCACCTCACGTGTCCCTCTCCCTCTCATCGTCTCCTCCGCCCAAATTCGCAAAGCTATCCAAACTCCAACCAAAACCCCCCTCAATTCTCTCTCTCTCTCTCTCTCTCAGCAATGGCAGTCACAGCCGCTCACACTCTGTCAAGGTTACTCTCCTCCCCCAAACCCTTCTCTCTCTCCTCCTCCACCACCGCCACCTCTCTCTTCTCCCCCAAAACCCTCCTCTCCTCTTCCTCCTCTTTCTCTCTCCACCTCAAACTCCGTAACCGCCACACACCCCTCAAATTCTCCTCCTCCACCACCACCACCACCACCAAAATCTCCGCCATCTCCGTCGGCGACAAGCTCCCCGACTCCACCCTCTCCTACTTCGACGACGCCGACGAGCTCCAAACCGTCACCATCTCCGACCTCACCACCAACAAGAAGGCCATCCTCTTCGCCGTCCCCGGCGCTTTCACCCCCACTTGCTCCCAAAAACACCTCCCAAGTTTCGTCGAGAAGGCGGCGGAGCTCAAATCCAAAGGCGTCGACACCATCGCCTGCGTCTCCGTCAACGATGCCTTCGTCATGAAGGCGTGGAAGAAGAATCTCAATGTCAGCGACGATGTGATGCTTCTCAGCGATGGCAATGGGGCTTTCACGAAGGCGATTGGTTGTGAGCTTGATTTGAGTGATAAGCCGATTGGGCTGGGAGTGAGGTCGAGGAGGTACGCGATGTTGGTGGATGATGGAGTCGTGAAGGTCTTGAATTTGGAGGAAGGTGGGGCTTTCACGTTCAGTGGTGCTGAGGATATGCTTAAGGTGCTTTGAAATTTTTGAGGTGTGAATGTTTTTTGAGTTCAATTTTTCAAGTGACACTGTTTTTGCTTTTAATAAATTAGATCCAATTTTAGTGCACTTTTTAGGGTTTCTGTATTGGAAAACATGAGTCTTGGAATTGAATGTGTTTTCTGATAAATTATGTTCTGTGTTTGAATTTGAGGTAGGGAAAGAAAGATATGGATATAGAATTATATCTTGTGAATGATTGATTTGTCACAATGCTATGGCGTTAAGATATTTTTTTTCTTCAAGTTGTTGATTGCTTGATTGGAATGCTGTGCACCAAAAATCTGTTAAATGTTGTGTTTGGTTGGGGGATTTTACAAGGTTGTGTGTGGTTGGAGAATTTGATGTGGAAAATGGGAAAGGAAAGGGAAATAGAAAGAAAATGAAAAAGAATTGATAGGATTTGAATTTCAAGCTATATTTGGTTGAGTTGGGAAGTGGATTGTGTTTAGTTGAAAAATTTGAGAAGGAATTTAGAAAGAGAAAAGGAAATATGTGTGAAATTAAGTGAAATATAAATATATTTTATTTATTTATTTTTTAAATCTCTTTTTAATTTTTTTTTTTAAAATTCCTAACAAACAAAACACAGTGCTTGAATCCAAAAGACAAAAAGTAAAATTACATTTCGTTCACTTTTCTTTATGTTTTTCATTATAACCAAATAAGAAGTGAGGTTATATTTTCTTTCTTTTTTTATTTTTCCCATTAAATTTTTTAACCACACACAATCTAAATGCGGTGAGACCCACACAGTTTACTTTGTATGCATTTTGATTTTTTCTTAGACCATACAAATGTGAATAATAGAAGCGTGTAGAAGCAAGCCTCTGGAGTTTGGTTGTGTCATTGCAATTCAAGTTTGCAAGCTGGAGTTGTGGATTGTGTGGATATGGCTACATATTCCAACAGGATATTTTGAGTCTCCGAAGCCCTAACTAATGGTCCAAGTGAACTGTAGTCTTGGGGGTCCCAAGGAATGGATCCTTAAGAATCCAATGAGTTTGGTAAGGTTAGGTACAGGGTTATTCGAACTATCCAACTTGAACTGATCTGCAATGGGCGGATGTAATTTGGAATATGACATTATCGCTAGTTGCGGACGGGTTGCGGGTTTTATCTACACCCCCAAGAACTCGTCCTCACTTTGACGTGTTTTTTTTTTTTTTTTTTAAACCTGGATCGTTGATTTCATTTATCCTATCCTAGATATTTTTGCCTAACAAGTCAAACCCTAATCTCTTAACAACAGTAGCACTAAGCGGCCTCTCTCATCTTATCACTCTCTCACTCACTCTTGTTCATACTCGTTCTTCAATCTCTCTTTCTTTGTGGCAATTGGCGACTGGTGATCGGAATTGAAAGAAGCTGGTGGAACTGAAAGAAGTAGCCCTCTCTGTGGCGACCGGTGATCAGAACTGAAGGTAATGCAAAAAAAAAAAAAAAAATTATGGATTTCGTTCTTTCAAAATTTTCACTTGTTCCCTTTATGTTGATATCTAAAAGGTTGTTCCCTTTATTGGGGTTATTGATTTTGAAGCACTGATATAGGTAAATTTTTATTTAGTTCATCTATATGTGTCGTTGATTTTTTAGAATAAAAAAGGGAAAATCCAAATTGTTTTGCTTGATGGGTGTTCTGAAGAATTTGAACTACAAATGTTTTGCTTTGTTGATATTTTAGAAGAACAAAGGGGAAAAACAAATATGTTTTGAACTAGCTTTCTCTTCATCTCAATTCTTGAAATTAATTTGTATTTTCTATTAGATTGTGAAGGTGCATATTTTGAATGACTAGTGACTATACTTGATTCTGTTTAGAAAGAAAGATGTTTGCCTAACAGTAGGAAATTTTTTACTGGAAGTTTTGTTAAAGGCTTGGTTCAGCAAACATGTTTGTGTTCTTATTCTTGAATTAAGAATTTGTTTCTATTTTGTGTTCTTATTCTTGAACAGTCATTTTCAATCTCTCAATATGTCAAATTAAAAAATTAGGATTTTAAATGATTGCTTGTGTTAGCAATTGATTTTGTTGTGTTTTTAATTTTATAAGTTTTAATTCGTTAATTATTAATGTTGAGCATTTTAGAAAATGAGAGAAAAATGGTTCAAAATAAATATTTATAAAACGGGAAAAAAAGGTTCAAAAATAAATTTTTAAAGAAAAAAGTCTAATTCGCAAATCATCCGTACATTTGTAAACTCTATCCGTGCAAACCGTAACCCACATTGCGGACGGTTGCGGATTTAATTTTTTCCAAACTACATATATGCGGGCGGATCTATATCACAAACTGAACCATTTAAAATCGAACTGCAAGTACTCTTAGTGTTTGGTATCAATGGTTTTGTGCCAATGGATATTCCCAAATCCTGAGAGATGTCTCTCTCTCTCTCTCTCTCTCAAAAACACATGAAAAACAAGAAAACTAGTACACTGCCAATAGTGGCCCTGGTTAAAGGCTTCACTATGTAGAGGATTATGTTGAATGCGTAGTTTCCAACCCATATTGACCCTGCTTATTATGGCACTGCCAACATTTGTGCATTGAGGAAACTTCCAAGCACTGTCATTAGTTGTAAAAATTGCAAAAAAGGAAAAAACGAAAAAGTAATAGCCATTGGTCTGTTTTCAGCATTTTTTTGTATCACCACTGAATGAATAATTGTTTTCGTCCCTTTTATTTTGAAGAGATGTTTAGAAGAAAATTATGAAGAGTCATACTTCGTCATGTAAGAAATAAAAAAATAGAACTATATATATTGCCTTTGCTTTAAGAAGTTAGTACGAGGTAAAGAGTTGACAATTAGTTCAGAGTAGGCACCATCCAAGTATTCCTTAGTGCTCTAACTTGTTTTTATTGATTTAAATAGTTAAAAATAATTTTTTTGATTTTTAATTTTTTTTAAGTCACATCATTTCTTTTTTTTTTTTTTTTTTTTTACACTTTTTTTTTTTTTATAAAAAAGGAAAAAAAAAAAACTCAAAAAATCAATTTTTAACCTACTCAAAACATGCCTAATTTTCAATAGCATTACATATAATCGATTATGGCACAAAGTCTTTATCTCTTATACTCCATAAAAGTTGGAACTATTTGATCTACTTTCACTTGATCTATTCCTCACTCTGTAGAAATTTTTATATGCCAAAAATTATAAAAGTTATAAATGTATATACTAATAGAATATTACGTGATATTATCTTTCATCAATTATAAATATATACGGGATAATGTTAGGGATATCAAATTTTTTATCAAATGAATGACCAAATGTCTTACATGAATGTGGAGTCCGCAATTTTGTAGACCTCATACCCATATGAGACATTTGATACCTATAGCATTTTCCAATGTATACGTCATTTATTATTTTTTAAAAACTCAACATAAATGTAATGGACTTTACTACCAAAATTAATCATAATAATAAAAGATACCACATGACATATATCCTATTAGTATACAAAATTACTCCTCACGAACCGCCTGCCTTGGCGTTGATGCCATGTATATCCACAGACAAGTTTGCAAAGCCTGAAAATTTAGGCCAAAACTAGATTTTCATTGGGAAAATTCCAAATCAGTAAAAATTAACAAAAAAATATTTACAGAACAGTGATAAATTTTATAAATATTATTGATTAAAATTATTATGTTTTCCATGACTGTGTAATAAAATTTTGGAAATACCACTGAGGCGTGATTTTCCCATTTTCATTTGTCTGTCTTGTCTTCCACAATAACTAAGGGGTTTGTTTGGGATGTAGGTTAACTTTTTGACTATTTTAACTTGAGGCTAAAAAGCCTCGTTTGTGATAGATTTTTTGGCATTTTTGACTTTTGTGAGAGAAAAAATAAAATGATTATGAATTGGATGTAATAATTTATTTTATTGAGTTAAAAAGTCTATTTTATCTTTTTATGACTATTTTAGAATTTTTTTTTTTTTTTACTTTTTTATGCCAAACAAGCTCTAAATGCTTTTAGAACTCTCAACTATAGTACCAAGTCAAGCTTTTGTTTGACAGTTCGAATCAGGGGCATGAATTTTTTTCCTCTATCAAGAATTCTATCTTCAGGAGAATTCTATCTTCAGGTAAATTCAATGCTCGGGAATTGCCTATTCCATATCATTATTCTTTATATTTTTTCATATTTTATTTTATAGATCTCATTCTGGATCTATAATGATAATGTAAACTATTTATCTCACAAACCTCGCAGTGAAAGCTATTTGTGCCAAAAAACAAAAAAAAAAACCAGCTTCATTGAATATTAATGAGTAGATGAACAAAATCACATTTAATTTTATAAAATGGATGATTTAAATTTAAATTCATAGTGGGCGTCTATTATAAAAATTAAAATGTAATTTATTCATGTGTTTAATGATATTTGATAAAATTATTTTTTTACAAAATTTATCTTTAATATTAAACTCACTAAATGAATGATTTAAATTATTATTATGAATTTGAAATGGAATTAAAAAGGATAGGAGAATAATGATATGGAAATAAGCCATATCCTTTTGTTATTTCTCAATCTAAAAAAATGCCAACGCGACATAACAAAAAGTAACTTTGGTAAATTTATGCATTGTCAGCTCAAACAACTTTATGCTTTTTTATGTTCTTTTCTCCAAAAAGATTCGAACACTCCCCCATGCGTGATATAGCCCCTTCTGTGATATTCTTTTATCAATAATGCTTGAGATCATTAAAAGTGGTGCTCTAAGGTCATGTTTGTTTGGGTGAACATGAGTTTGAGATTGGATTAATAGTCTAATAAAATTATTAATCTAATGTTTGGTTAAACAATTGAAGTACGGACTAATTATTTTAAACTTGACTATTAGTTAAGATAGGATTCATAATCCAACGGATTCGTAGTCCTAGGACTATTAATCATGGGAATGCTAATCCAGTCCGTCCAAACAAATATGGCCTAAAAGTACTATTAGTGATGTGACAGTGGATGAGACTTTTTGTTTTGTTTTGTTTTTTTTTTTTTAAGTGCTTGCCAACTCATTAGTGGTACTTTAGAGCACCACTTTTAGTGGGATGTATCATTACCGTTCTTATATATATATATATAAATATAAATCGCTTAGCTACTTGAATTTATTTATTTATTTAACTTTTTATTTTATCTTTTTATTTTGAATAATTTATTAATAGTGGTCTGTATGTCGAAAGAAATTTTTTT